ATAACATTAATAATAATAATAATAATAATAATAATAATAATAATAATAATAAAATTTTTAAAAGAAATCCAATGTCATATCAATTGTGATTGGAGCCCTTGGAGCAATACCTAAAGGACTCCCTAGATATTTGGAAATTTTGAATTTATCGGACCTGAACACCCTAAATTTACAAAAAAATATCCTGCTTGAAACCGCCTATATCCTCAGATGCTACCTTAATAATTCTTAGGTCCTTGGTTAGGCCTTGAATTATTAAGTCTCCACCAATCTTTGACTGTGAATCGAATTGTAGATTACCCTTAATAATAATTTATTATTAAATTTATATGCTGCCTGACTCCCAGCTGAATCTTGTTGCTTCCCATTTTTAAAAACATCACTGCTGAACTCATATACATTTCAGGTTTGGTTATCATAATGCTGCTTTGCTCATCTGGTGCCAGTTTTCTTAGCTTCTGTTGTGGTGGAACCAAAGTCACTAATCTCTGGCCTCTGAGGCTGCTGGATTCCCGTTCGTCTTCAACAGTTACAGAACATGGGTGCAAGAGTCCAGCAACATCTGGTGGCAAGTCCCCCACCTTTGCACTTACAATTAAGTGTAAAACTCTTCTCTGCCTTCTAAATCATCGAGGGCAGGACTAGGACAAAAACTCAATTTTACTTCCTTCTGTTTACATTTCAAATCCCCTTGCATTTAAACAAGTTAAGCTGATTATTCTTCAGTCATATATTTAATAATGTCCTCCTTAAAGACTGTCATTTGCCCAGACTTGCAGAGGCTGCACCCACTGCTTTGGGGAGCCATGTGTGAACCCGGACCTTAGGTGATTAATCTTCCTTATAAAACATTCTATTTTTGCTTTCTGGTATTTCTGTCTCTATTGTCCAGTGGTGGGTGGTGTTCACGGGGCAACCTGTGGTATTATAGGAAGCCTCCTACGGTTGCACACTGCTTTGGATTTGATCTCCAAAAGGTGCTTTGAAGTGTACAGGACTATGATCTTAACATCTTAAATCAGCTACATCTTTTCTCAGAGCTGCAACTCCATGACTTTATGGTCCTGTAGGCAGATGCTATCTTCATGAACCCACCTGCTCCTAAGCACCTTTTGGAGATTGAATCCAAAGCACCACACGGACTTAAAACCTCCCATCGACTTGGTGCCAAGACTCCAGCAGTGGCTCCTGTAATTAACAGCAGTGAATAACATCAGATATTTTCTTAGTCAAGACGTTCCAGACACAATACTGATATCAGGCAAAGCAAAACCCTAGCCGCAGCTGGAGATATGACCCCAAGTAAAATAAGATGCGGATCTTGACAATACCTGTGTTGTTTTGCACAGCATAAACGTTCCTTCTGTTCTGCATCATCTTGAATTCGTTCCCTTCTTTACGCACTTTCCTTTTGCCGGCCACTTCAGACGACTCTCTGATATTGAAGATATTAAGACAAAAATTGCAGGGCAGTGAGAAAGATTTTATAGGCCTCAGCAGGAAAAGTTAGCAGAAGTACTGGAGCCATGACCCCTCACGAGCATTTAATAACACCTACAAAGATGAGCTGTTCTGTGCCTCGGCCAGGCGCAACCTCTTGGCATGATTCTTGCCCTGGTAGTGAGCCTGGGCAACCGCTGGCGAAGAAAACGAAGCATCGCACAGTTTACAATAATCATTCTCCGTGGCCAGGATCACTCGCCCTCCTGGTTTGGAGGAAGACCCCTGGACAAAAGAGGAAAATATATTTAGATAGATCAAGGCAGTTTTTTTTTTTTAGAAAGGTTCTGAATGGGCCCCCAAAAGCTGTCAATATTTTTGGAGCTGGTTGTTACAGGTTTGATTTGTTGCCATATTTATCTTCCTAAGTGCCATAAGCAGTCCAAAAGTCTCCATCTTAATGAAATGCACTGGGTGATAACGGGAGTAGAGTTTTTTTTTCCTGGCTCCCCAATCCTGTATTTTCTACAGAGAAACTCATTTGGTGTTTAAAAACCTTTTTATGTATGAATTGGAGGCAAGCTTACAGATTGTTTGGTCCAGCTTTCTGTAGTGCAGAAATCTGCTAATTATCCCCAAGAAATTTATCCCAACCTGAAAACCTCCAGTGAGGGGGGAACTGCCAGAGCCCTAAGGAGACTGCTCCATTGTTTAACAGCTCTCATCATCAGGAAATTAATCCTGACATTTAGTCTGAATCTCCCTTCTTTTAATTTCAGTTCCTTTGTTTCTACAGCAGAGAGCTCGTCTACCTTCTCTTAAATACCCTTCCCTTCCCAGCCCATTTATATCTATCTTCATTCAGCCTTCCCTTTTGCAAGTTAAACATGCCCCATTCCTTTAATCCTTCCTCAAAGGGCTTCCTTTCCAGATCTCTTATTATCCTAATAATTATTCCTTAAGCTCCTCTCCAGCTTCTAGCCATGTCAATTTCAAAACACCAGGATCAGGATGCAACACAATTCAATTCATGATTGCGTTGGCTTTTTTAGTTCCTGCATCACTTTGGGTGAAGCTGGTGGTCCCCTAGTACTCTTTCATCCTTCTCCCAAGCAGTACCACCAAGCCAGATCTTCTTATCCAGATGCAGGATCTTCTACTTGTCACGGACGAATGCCATCTTGTTGTATTTGACCCAATACTTAAGCCTGTCAAGGTCATTTGGAATTGCGACTTTGTCCTCTTAGATATTAGACAATTCAACAAGCCTGGTGACATCTGCAAATGTGGTAAACATCTCTTCCTTTCCATCCTCTAGATCATTTCTAACAAAGGACCCTATTTGACATTTCACTCCAGGATGGTACAAAACCATTTACAAGCATCATCCAGATACAATTTTTCAACCAGTTGTAAATCCATCAGAGTTCGGTACCTTCTAGCCCATATTTATTCAAATTGTCCCAGGCCTTCCATTATTTCCTATTATTCATTACATTATTTGCATTCACTATTTTTAAAGTGTGTATATTGCTCCATAAAACCATACTTTAAGTAGCTGATTTGTAATCTTTTTTCTGGCTTATATTTAAAGGGTTGTATCTTACTGTCTTTGTAAATGACCCCAAAAACTCTGTGCTTCTGCAGCCTATCATCAGGATTAATAATGATGATTTCAATTTTAAAGTTTATTCTTAGTATATTTATATTCTGCTTTCTTAGTGAATTCAACATTCTTCACTTTTCATTTTCCTCTTCATCTGTCCATTATTAGTACAGCAATCTTTAGGCTGAGATATTGGCTGGTTCACTGTTACTAGTAAACTTTTGATGAGTCTCTTTTTCAAACCTCTTTATAAAATCATAGTATCATGGCAAAGTACTGAGTTCACTGGAAACTACTCCCAACACTGCAATGACGCCCATTCACTTTTATGAAGGTAAGTAAAAAGACATCTTAGATTTTAAAGAAGCTTTTTTTAATCTAAGAAACTGTCTCCCCCCAGTGGCCAACCTTATGAATTATACTTGAATTGAAGAAATACAGGTAGTCCTCACTTAACAACCATTTGTTTAGTGACTATTCGAAGTTACCACAGTGATGAACAAAGGGACTTACAACCAGTCCTCGCACTTTCGACCATTGCAGCACCCCACGATCACGTGATTGCAATCCAGGCATTGGCAACTAGCTCGCACTTACAACAGTTGCAGCATCCCAGGGTCACACGATTGCCATTTGCAATCTTCCCAGCTGGCTTCCAGCAAGCAAAATCAATGGGGGACCGTGTGATTTGCTTAATGACTGTGATTCACTTAACGGCTGTGGTGATTCGCTTAATGACCATTGCAAAAAAGGCCATAAAATAGGGTGCAACTCACTTAACAACCACTCCGCTTAGCAACAAATTTTCCAGTCCCTATTGCAGTCGTTAAGCAAGGACTACCTGTAGAATTAATTCCCTCAATTAAGGGATCTGAATTATTGTACGCTGAAAGAGATACAAGAATGCCAACCTTCTCCATGTTCCTTCTAGGATCTAGAGGATTATTTACTCTACAGTGCCCCAATCCTTTCAGGCCTATGGACACATCTGAATGTGTTATAGGTATTGTCAGCTCTGCCTGGCAGCTAGAAAGCCCCATTTCTCAGAAAACAAATTGGTGAAGGTGCTATTAAAGTAACTTGTACAAGAATCAAAACTTCAGGCAGAGGCCAAGAACTAACTATAAAATACAAAACCAGTGTGTTGAATGGCCAAATATATAGTCAACATGCTATCTGGGCATCAAATGCCATAATACGTATTTATTCCCATGATCCAAACCAAAATGTCAGTTTTATAAAAGACAAATGGGGGTTGTTCAGAAAAACACGCATGCTTATTTTTACAGAACTAAAAGAAGTCAGGCAGAGAAAGAAACTTGATGGGCAACAAGGAATATCTGCAGACACGGAAAGCCCCATGAACACGAGATTGGGGATCCCACACTTACTGGTCCTCTTTACATGGTACATCTAACTAGATCATGAGGAAGGCAGAAGTACTTTGTGCAAATTCCAATCCTGAGTTACTCCACCCAGCCAATAAACTTAAAGGAAGTCTCTGGATGACTGATAATTTGCAACAGCCAAGGAAACAAACTGACAAATCATTGAAGAAATCAATCCACAAATGACCAGGCTCAAATTATTCTACTTCAGACACTTCAGACCCAGCTCTCTGGAGAAGGCTCTGATACCAGGAAAGGGGGAAGGAAAGAGAAAAAGAGGACAACCAGCAGCAAGGCGGAGGGACTTAGTTATAGTGGCAATAAATATACTGCTGGGAGACCTGAAAGAACAGGTTAGGGATAAATCATCATGGACAAAATCTCTCTATGGGGTCACCAGGAGCTGAAAACAACTTGATGGCATATAATCAATTAATCAATCAATCAATCAATGGTCAGTCGACTGACTAGGAAAGGGAATGGTTAGGTCATTCCTGTCATGCAAACGGACTTTATACATTGTCTGCACCATCATTTTGCAAGTTTTACTAGCTGATCTCACAAGACAGCAAGTAGTCCTACACATTTTGGGGGTGAGGGGAATATGAAAACTTGACTTGGAGATGCCATTCATAGACTTTATTTCCAGATCACATACTTACCCCAAGCTGTACAATCAGTACCTGCCTCTTCATCTTATGGAACAAATATACCAACAAATCAGAGGAACACCCATAGGATCACCACTCTCAGGACTCATAGCAGAGACTATAATGCAGCATCTAGAAACTACAGCATTCCCACGCATACAATCAAAAGTATAGATCAAGTATGTATATGACACCTTCATCATAATAAAAAAGGAAGAACTAGAGAAGACACATGAAAGAATCAACATCTTCAAAGCAATAAAATTCACAAGGGAAGAAGAAAACAACAAGACATTACCCTTCCTAGATATCCTCATCAGCAGAAGAAATAACAGCAAATTAGAAACACAAGTCTATTGAAAAACAACCCACACTAACCAAACACTCCATTACCAAAGTAACAACCCAGCCTCCCAAAAGAGGAGCTGTGTAAGGACATTATTTAGATGAGCACAAATGTACTGCAGCAACCCAGAACACCAGAAAAAGGAAGCAGATCGCCTATACAACATCTTTGAACAAAATGGATACCCACACAACTTTATCAAAATGTGCCTGACCACCCAACCTACTACAGCACAATCAACACAAGCCATGAAAAGGATAACATTACCATACATCAAAAACATCTCAGAAACAACCAACAGACTATTAGAACCACACGGCATCACCATAGCACACAAACCA